GAGAGTACAGGTAGACATGTACATGAGAAAGAAAAGCATTAGGACAAAATTGAAAACCCACCAACTGAAATAAAGAGACTTAGCATGCAAGCATGCGGTTAGTAACTCGAATGCAGCGTGCCTACAAACGCTGCGCCGGTTCTGCCTACGTTCTCTGCAGCGCCCATCGTCGCTTATTGGTGGTCCCGAGTGGCTTCGCTTATGGCCCACTAGGCCTGCCTGACTCGCACTCGCGACCGCATGTGCAACAGCACCAACGACATATATATATATATATATATATATATATATATATATATATATATATATATATATATATATATATATATATCCTTTTTTCAGCACTTGACCAATTTACAATCGGAAGAGTGCCACAACACATGGGTAACAAAAACCCAAAGGGAAAACAAATAGTTTGTGGGAGAGTTATGTGTCGTGTGGGTCGACGGCTCCCCGGTTGCCCCGACCGAGGAAGAGAGTTAAGGAGCCCCACCCCATCTCTTGGTCATGAGACCTGACCTACAAGGCAGCGGGGCGATTCACGCAAGTTGCCGAATTTGAATGCAATTGACAGCCATGTGGTTCATACGCCTTCTTTATGTTCTGTAGCAGTCCATACAGAAACAGGTGTTTAGCAAGGTTGTTCATTCGCCCTCCGTTAGGTACTCACCTCTGATCACAGAATTGAGTTGTTAGTGACCCAATAGCCGGTCCCAGTGGCTTGGACACAACACCGTAGGAGCTCTTGTGGTATTTGATGGATAACCAAGTGACCAACCCAGAACCCCTCACGTTCTAGGACCTGCCGCTGATAGTCCGCGACTGCTCATTTATCCCGCCTGCGAACAGCGGAGATTTATTTATAGTCACCTTCACAAGAAATGTGTTTCAGGATCCGCAACCTGAACACGCGGCCGATGGCGTACAGCTCCGCCAGGGGACGACAGGCACTTCGGCATCGTCTAATCTTTCTGAAGCAAACGGTGTGCATTCAATCTGACGAAGTTGCTGTTTTTCACCTCAGGTCTTGGGCGCGGATTCAGGAGACTCCACGTTATGGTACACGTTGACGACCGACATTTCTGATACCGTTTACTTAAACAATTTTAATGAATTCCTTTCACAGCGTTTAAGTGCTCTGCCACTCGAGGGGTGTCCCTTCCACTGGGTGCAATAATTTCACTTCGACACAGTTACCCTCGTTGAAGTCAATTTGCTACGCGATTGATGAGTCGTTTCATATTCTCATTACTGGCGATTTCAACATCCACGCTCTGGAATCCCAAGCAGCTCCCGGAGAAAAGTTTAATGCTGATCTACCAGTTTGTCTCCAGTTACCCGTTGCATGTCCAAATAAAACCTCCCACCCAATTCCGAGATAAAGATAAGCGTTCGATACTGGATCGGATATTCATCAAGGAAGAACTACTAGTACAGTGAATGATCACCTACTTCCCTTTGGGTCACAACGATCATGTAGTCATGTAGCTATGCAGAATATTCCGTGGAAATTACTGATGCAACGAGAACGCATGTACGATACGACATAGTAGCTCTGCTAGGTGAGACAGCCAACTGAAATTTTCTGACAGACGAGGTACCAGCTAGTGCATGGGAACACTTCGTCGGCAACTTCCAATCTCTGGTTGCCGAAGCGACTAAGAACTTCCGCCCGAGGAACTTGATCTCGTTTCTGCGAAACCGGACGCGAAAGTGTATAGCAGTGAGAAACACAGCCTGGCATATCTACAAACCCCGAGCACGGAGAACTGGATGGCTTGTGCCACTCAACGTAACCACTGTACTCAGCTTGTTCGCGAGGATAGAAGGGCGTACCAGCAGAAGTTGGCAGTGCGTATGGCCTCAAACCACAAGCTTCGGTATCAACACGTCGACAGTCTACCTAAGGTGAAACGGGGACTTCCTCCACATCAAACGGCGGACGGACCCACACAGACACCGAATAAGGCGGCGAATACCCTACGCCTACAACATTCTGCAACGTTTCAGTGCGATCACTGGCCACGTAACAATATGCCGATGGTTGCTTTACCCCCGAAAACTCACTCACATATCCTTCACGGCAGAAGCTGTACTAGAAATGCTGTTGAGTCTGCGCAAGAACAGCTCTTCTGGAGTTGATAATATGCACACGAAGTCACTAGCAGCAGTCGGAGAGAGTTTAGATGAGCCTTTGGCTCGATTCTTCCAACCCTGTTTTGAAGAAATGTACGTGCCCGACATGTAGAAACACGGGATGATTACTCCTATTCACAAGGGAGGTAGTCGTTCCAATCCAGCCAAGTACCGTCCCATAATATTACTACCGTTGCTTTCAAAGGTCATGGGAGCTATTATTTCTGATGTGCCAACGGTCTACTTGGAAGAATCTAACTACCTTGCACCGGAACAGCAGGGTTTCCGACGAAACCGATCGTGCACTACAAAGCTACAACGAGCACGATCCAGCTGAACTGAAGCAGTAGACTCTGGCACATGAGTTGGTGTAGTCTTGCTCCACTTCTAAAAGGCATTCTACCGGTTAGACCATAACATTCTGCTCTTCAAAGTTCGGCCCTTCGGTATTGGTGATGCACTCCTAGGATGGATCAGAAGCTCTCTTCTGCACCGGCTCCTGGAAGTACGAGTGCGTGAATCGCCGTCAGACCCCATGCGAGTTGAGTACGGAATACCACAAGCAGCGGCACTGGGACCGCGATTATTTTTGACGTATATTATTGATATCACACGCATTATAAGCTCGAACTGCCTTCTTTGTGCCGATGACATCAAGGTGTGGAGGGCCATCAATACACCAGATGATATCACAGTATTTCAAACTGATTTGGATAGGGTATGCGCGTGGTCAATCCAAAATCTACTTGATTCAATATGGACAAATATAGAGTGCTGTGCTTACGGCACAAGTTTGTACACTCCTACAAACTAAGCAACCAGGAGCTTCAAAGGTCTTCTGGCGAGAAGGATATGGGGGTTTTGCTCCAGATCGACCTTGGATGTTCGAAGTAGGCTGTAACGGCGTCTAGGTGGGCCATCCAGCATGTTGGCCTCCTAAAGTGTGAATTCGGACGATTCGACTCTTCGATTTTCCTACAACTTCTCGGCTCATACATACGGCGACATGTGGAATACGCAATACAGGTCTGGCAGCCATGGCTGAGGAGAGATTTCACCACCTTGGAGATATCCCAACGCCGGACAACCAAGTATGTCAAGGGTCTGTGTGATTTGCCTTATGAACGAAGGCTACAAATGCTTGGGGTCTTCAGCGGACAGTATCGGCGATTGCGCGAAGACCGCATTTTGAGTTACCAGCTTTTGAGAGATCCCAACAAAAAGCTTGACTGAATCACGGGGAATGCTAATCTTCAGCAATCCAAATACTTCCATTTATACGAGTGAATAAAGGGAGGCAGAATCCAGGTAAAGAATGCTTTCCGGTAATTCTCATCAGACTCAAATATTACATGATGACGACAAAGTGATAAATGTGCCGGCTTGGACTGCGTACTGCTCAGAATGTTTAATTCCAACAGGAACAAATCAATAAATCAAGTGGTTCTTGAGGGTGGCAAATTATGTACAGTGGCAAATCATAGCAGACGTTATAGGCCACGGTAGAAGTAAAGGGTGTACAAAGTGTTCTTGTACCCACAATTCTGGCTTGAGGTGACGGATGTAGATAGCTTTCTCAATAGGCAGGAGATGGTTTCGAAATCCGCGCGCGAAACGTTCAGCGATAGTATAAATGACTCTGAAATCGTTTTCCGTCCCTGCGTGACCGCACTCTATTCCATTTCTCGGCCAAGTTGTCCTCTTGGGCAACAGAAATAATCTGAGGGGGCATTCAACATGAGTCTACTCAATTAATTTGTTCCGTGCATAGGAGTTGAAGCGTCCCACCTGCACCCCTTGACTTAGTGCGTCTGAGGTCCAATTGGCTGAAGGCGACGAGCTATATACGCACACCTACACACCTGCACAAGTGACTGGCGTACGCAGGAAACAAATTGATTGAGTAGACTCATGTTGAATGCCCCTCAGATTATTTCTGTTGCCCAGGAGGACAACTTGGCCGGGAAATGATATAGAAGGTGAGACAGGATGAAACTGTGACTAGACTTTGCTTCGGCTTTGTAATGCCACCTTGGGATGTGTTCGCGAATCCTATGAGATAAGCGCCTCGTGCTACGACCTACGTATCGTGCACCACAGGAGCACGAGTAAAGATAAACCAGTATTGATCGAGTCACCGGAGGCAGCCTGTCTTTCAAAGGTTTTGCGAATAATACTCTGCATAGGCGAGCCGCAAACACACGTGCCGCTACTTACTAGGGCTCAGTCACAACAGCAATTTGAGAGGCCAATATCTCAAGCTGGCAGAGCAGCACAATCGCTTGGAATTCCGTCGGAATTTCTTTTCCGTACGCGTTTGCCGTACGTGTAACGCCAAACCAGAATCTATCATATGTGCTCCCACGCTGATAGCGCTCAAAGCCCGAGTTGACCGTGAACTTATTTCGCTACACCATCTTACGTGACCCATTAACCATGGATAAACACAAGCCTCTTTATGAGTTCACTGGCGATCCTAGATTTCGCTCTAGGTTTTGCACCTCCTCTACGTGTACACCAGAAGGAGACACGATTTTTGTCAACACCGCATTTCCCGTCATTTATTATGGATTTACCTTGGATTTACAGTTTATACTATGTATACTTCAGTGAGTTCACTGGTGTAAACCCAATTTCGCTAACAATTGTTTATATTTTGTAGTTTCACCATAAACATCTTACGGGACCTGTTAAGCATTAGCTTTTTTACCAGTATAAAACCATTGTTCCATGTTTGTGCGTTTCCGTGCACTCGGTAGTGAAATGTTATGGTTTTCTCATGGAGGTCGGTATAATATGCACCCAACCAATTGTCCCACTGGCTCACCTCCATGATATATATTTCTTCTTAATATTCAACACAGGGATTAGATAAAAACAAAACCACATGGACAAGTGAGAGATCAGCAAACACTAACTCAACAATCAAGCAACCTTCCAACCCCTTTTCCAATGTGAACCAAACATTTCTCGGTGAACCACAAAGTCCTCGACATTGCGGTCCACCTCCCACTTGGGGGTTTGACATGCACTTGGACCCTATGGTGATGAGGTCTAAGAGTCCAGTTCGTTTGCCCTTGACGAATCCACTAACCAATGAACAGAGGCAGGCACTTCAATCGTCCAAGATCGTCCCACAGCCTATCAATCCCAAGTTATTAACCAATGGGCGGGAACAACTGGGCTGTTCGCTGTCAGGACGGCACATCAAAGGTGCGTTTTTCATGATGCCTATAGTTGCTATTTTTTCAAGCTATTTCCGCTACTTTGCAACCTTCTAGCAAAATTTCTAACCTATCAACGACAAACATCATTGCTGGAAGATGTAGTAGCTTTGGTTGATGTTGCTCACGGGATCACACGGTGGTGGCTCGCTACTTCGTACTAACAGTAATTCTATAACCAAGGGGACGATAGGGAGAAGCACTGCAGTTTCTTGATCTTGTCAGTGTGGTTGCCACGTTCACTCCGGATGCAATTTAGATTGCGAGTGATGTTCCGACCTGGGTTTCATTCCCGGTCCGATTGTCCCTAGCTGTAAAGCCCGGGTAGGACAGAAACGCTTGTGGCGTTGAAAGCGGATGACAACCAGCATTCCGGTACTTCAGATTCGACCCCATTTCTCGAGGTAACGAAGGTCCAATTCAGTGTAACTCTCGGGCAAGTTGAAATTGTGTGCCGCAATCCACAAGCCATGACGGGTCCTCTCGTCTTCCAAAATTCTCTAACGGCGAGTTGCAACTGTCCGATGCGTTCGCTAGGTGAATGCTCTAACGCTGTCGTGCTAGCCTTGTTCTCACCCGCTAGAGTAATTACATGGACCACATTTATCTCTCCTTCCGTTCCGGCTAAATGATTGGAAATTTACTATACTAAATCGCTCTGCTATTCTCGCACATGCGGTTACTGTTGAGGCCTCTGCAGACTGATCTCTTACTCTTTCTGTCAATTTGATTGCTCATTTTTGGTTTTACACCCAAAAGGCATAACGTAATATCAGCCAAAAAGTTTAGTGCACTGTACTCACGGTGACCCGGCTACAAAAATATTGTATTTATGCATTGTAAATGACTTCTAGTACCGGCATATTAAAGAACAGGTTCAACCTGCAGTCGAAGACCCAACAACCAAGGAAACGAATGCTCTATTGCAATTCACCATCAGCGACCATTCGCAGCACCACAAAACCTTCGGCAAGCGATTTGCGAACGTTGGTTAATGGAGACCAAGGCTATCACTTTGCGCATAGGCAGCACAGGCCATTGCACCAGTGACCCACAGTCCAAAGGCCCGGTCGATTAACCATAGACAACACTTGTTACGGTTCTATGTGACTGGCGGTATCCGGTCCCGGATTTGCCTGTCACTGTGGTCTCCATAGGATGGCCACAGGACGTCTGCGCCTACAGAGCGACCATGGAGGGCTTGCTTTGCACTACCCACAACTCCATCCACACACCCCATATCCAGTGTTAACCCGCAGGAATAAAACCGGATGGTTTGTGGATGGGAGCCATGTATCATAAATAGAGCTGGCCCACACTTCTTTAACACGCACAGCAGCAGCATTCTTGTCTATCTAATTAGGGAATCATGCGTACCAGACGTATACAGGACGATGGCTGGAACGTAGTCCTCTCCGCACTGGATGGAACCATTCTTTGAGCCTAGCACGGCCAAGAAAACTGTGCACTTCGTCCCCCCAACAATGCTACGCAGTCTACTGGGGCCAGTAATCGAGGTGGCGGTTTTAAACGGGTAGACACCTTGTCAACCTTCGCGTCAAGCGCAGGCACACGGAGGATATCAACCAACAGCCAACACCTGATATGCAAGATAACATGCATGTGCACGTACAAACCTGCTCCGACGATGATGTGACAACACAAGTGCCACATCTCGTTACTGGCCTGGGTTGGGAAATTGTATCGGAATCAACGTAATTACCAAGCGCTGCGCGAATGCTTACTTAATCAGCTTACTGTTGCCTCTTCGATGTTGGCCCCTCGTGGCCACACTAGTGGCTTGTCAGACCAGCTTTGCTGTGGCGCTCGCGACCGCATGCGCTAACAGCACTATGTGTTCGACCTCGATGGGCTAGAATCCATCGGCACCGGTTGCTCCCGGAGTCGGTTTTTCTCATCTTCGTGCAGCAACAATTTTTCGTATGCACCATTGGCGACAATCCACTGCAATTTTTAGTCAACACCTGAAGTTAACTTTAGTTCGTGATGAAACCACTTTGATCACGTCCTGGTAAGGTAGCTTCGGCTTGCTCACGTTCCGCTTCCCTGCACGCAGTTGACCATATCGCGGCTGCTTGAGTATCCTAGCCGAATCTATACGACGGATATGTCCGATCCACCTAAGATGCTTCAGCAATAGTACCTAGTCCACTCTATACACGCCACTGCGTCGGGGCACCTCCGTGTCTGCAACTCGGTCACTCCAGACGATGCACATAATCCTACCCAGGCGCTATCGTTGAAATTGTTTCAGATAACGGACGTTCTTCCGATAAAGCGGCCAGCTTTCACTTTCGTATAGCTGGAAGGACAGCACCATCGACTTTTACGCTGTCAGCTTCGTCGAAAAGGTCAGCTGGGGATTCTTCCACCTTCGATTTTCTAAATTGTCAAATGCGGCACCCGCCTTCCATACGCGAGTGCACTGTTCGGTCGTTATCTGTAGGTCGGTAGAAAGTACGCTCCCAAGGTAGCAACATTTCGATGTGGTCTGTAAAACCTAATTAGAAATCCGAATTTGCAGTAAGCCCACCGATTCCATTTCTGCTCACGGGTTGTTTGCATTAATGTTGAGCCCGAACTTGGATACTGTCTAAGCGAGAGGCGAAGTTATACGCTGCAACTCATCCGCGCAGTGGGTAAACAACGCATAGTCGTCGACAAACAGCAACACACTGATGGTTACCTCACCTAACGTAGTCACTCCGCAACGACGGATGTCCAGCAACCCACTATCAAGACGGTGCTCCACACGGACCCCGAAATTACAAGCATTCAAAGCGCAGGACACTATAGTAGTTAGGTAAATATTAAGCAATGCAGGAACTAAGACACAGCCTCGCTTCCCACCACAGAGAAGAACGAAGCCATCTGTAGTTTGTCCATTCAGCTGCACCCTCGTCGCATACCAGTGTGTAGATGTTCAATTAGACTTACAAACTTACTCGCGTTATCAAACTTACCAAACACCAGCCACAGTGCCTCACAGTTCACTGTGTCAAATTCTTTTCTGAAAGCGATGAGCAGCGAGTATGATGGTTAGTGTCACTCATGGCATTTCTCCTGAAATTGACGGGTGTTGAACGCCAATCTATAATGCTGCGGCCCGAACGGAATCCGCATTGCTTTTCCGCCACGTTCAGTTCAAGGACTTGAGTGACAAGGTTGTTGGGCAGGATTCGGGCCATTACTTTCCCCACGCAGCTCAGCGAGTTGCTTCGACGACAATCCTTGGCACATTGCTTGCTTCCTTTGTGCTTGTACAATTGTAGTACAAGGGCATCCTTCAGCTAATCCAGCACTGCTTCTTCAATCCACACGCGCTGCTCCAATTGGTACAGCGCATGTATCAAAGCGTGTCCGCGATGTGTTAACACTTCGGTCGGTATCCTGTCGGCCCTAGCGCACTTGCCGTTTCGCAGTTGAACAAGTGCTCTTTGCGTCTCACCCAATGTCAGTGTATCGGCAAAGTACGTCTTCATCTCTTGTTGTTGCGGCCCGTGCAACGTAGGCCAATTAATCTCTGAACAGTTGTTCAAGAGACAATCGAAGTGCTTTCGCCAGAGGTGCATTATGTGTGCAGTCTGTGTGTAGGCAGCGCCTCAACTAGTATCGCGCACTGTCTTCAGCAGCTGCAACGGGCGTCCGTACACCGTCCTCAAAGAATTCCATATGTGAGCGACGTTCGGCGTAGCATTCCATCTACCTCTCCTTCTTTGTCCATCATGCATTCTTGATGCGACGGAGTTCTCGACTCAATCTCAGACTTTCCTTCTGTTGGTCATCATGATCTTCCTCATATGCAGCAAATGCTGCATTCTTCTCTTAGACAGATGCGCCTAGGTTCGCGCTGCTGCCATCAAACCAATGGGCCGCTTACAGTTTGCGTGCCCTACGATTTCCTTGGCCGCAACGGTCCCCTGTTGTTTATTGTTGTGCCTCAGGGTGCCAACTAAAGAGATGGAGTCAAAAATCGTGAAGATGGGTGGCCATCGCATTCTCCAGTTCGGTTTTATTCTGAGTGCGAACACTAAATTTCCGTCGATTCACGGCAGGGGGAGATCTGGTCCGCACCACACAGTAAACGTGTCATGCACGCTTCACGCATGACACGTTGGCGTAGGATGATATAGTCGAGTAGGCAAGTGTGACCACTCCGTGCGTGCGTCCAAGTAGCAATATCACTCAGACCCATTTGGGAATGTGTGTTTTGGTCGTCAGGTTGTGAGGGGTCCACATTTCGAGCGGGGGCCACGGTTCACATTAGCTGTACCAATGCCATACGGCATACTGGAAGGTTCTTCAATTTGACCGTTGCTGTTGCAAATTCATTTCTACACTAGTTACTGCGGAATTGTCAATTTCGTATAAAGCGTTTTTCAATTTTGTTTGTCTGGATCAATGGTGATGACCTCAATCTCCTATCCTTCCAAATTTTTTATAGACCGCGTCACCGCTTTTTGCTTGTAATTTGTTGAGTATTCCCATAAAGTCAGGGACATCTTTAAAAGAATTATGAAGAAGCAGACTAAAAAAATAAAAAGACACCAATCTGGTTGGCAAATCAGTCTAAGATGTCGTTCATTAGACCGGACGCAATTAACAATGATCCTTTCCATCAATGTTCGATTATTCTAAAGAAAAATCGTGGATCTTACCGCAATCTTGCATCAAAGTGAAGAACCAAATGCCGCCGTTTTGATGCTACAGGAAACTTGGTTGCATTCTGGTATAGAAGACAAAATTATTTAACTGTCTATCGTTCCATGAGGTCCGATGGATAAGAATCACTCCACAGAATCGTGGAAGCAGTGTAATTACTTACATCAGCCAACGCTGCTGCAATTCGGCAGCCTTACTGTTCACGTACACAACAACTGCTGTTAGCAGTCATTTGATTGAATGTAAGCCACGGCTCATGTGCGGTTTTAGTTCAGTTGTCGTCGGAAACGTATACATATCGTCTGA